GGGACCCTCGCCTGGGCTCCTCCCGTTGTTCCTGCTGCCCACGCCCACGATGGGGCCCTGTGGGCCACCGGCCTCCCACCGTGCCTGCCCCCAGCATGTCCCTCCTCACTTGTTGGGGGTCTCTGGACGCCCCACACCCAGAAACCTGCAGGAAGGAGGCTTTGGGGGTGCTTTGGGCCTTCAGAGGTGGCCTAAAGGGACGGTGCCCATGTCCAGCCACTGCAGGTTCAGACAGACGAGGGGAGTGGGGGACGCGTCTGGTGAGGAGTGGCCTGTGGCGGGCACCCCAGGGGCCCCCGCTGCCAACCACAAGTGTCCCGAGTGCTTCAGAATAAAATGAGAATGTGTAAGAGTGGACTCCGAGGCCCTTGGTGCCGCTCGGGGCGAGGGTCAGCCGTGCCCAGTGCTGTGTCCAGCTGCCCCGTGCTGCAGGCCGGCTCCTGGAAACTCCTCTGTGGTTCTCGCTGAATGCAGCCCTCGGGGGTGCGCCGAGGGCCCTTCCTTGCCAGCTGTCCGCCGGGGCTGCCCTCTGGACTTGGGGGCCCCCATCTCCCTGGTCAGCACATCCCCGCCCCCACCGTGGCGTCCTGTCAGGAGGGGCCCTGGCTGGCCTCCCAGCTGCCCATCAGAGACCGCCCGCAGCCACGGGCAGGCCTGTGGGCGCCTCCGAACCCGGCCCCAAGGGTCCCTGTGGCCAGGTAGGAGGCGCGGACGTTGAGAGGACAGCCCTCCCGTTTGCCACAGCCGGTTTCGGTGCTAAACCCAGTGCTGACCCCCACAGACTTGGACACGCTGGGCGCAAACTCGCACGAAGGCACACGGGAGCCAAGCTGCAGAGGGGGCACAGGCTGGGCCTGGCTCCGGACAGTGCGGGGGTGCGGGGGTGCACACGGTGCGTGTGGGGGGGCTGCACGTGCTGCCGGGGCCCCGACCCCCTCCACGTGCCCACAGCCACTGCCCGCAGGAGGGGGTGGGCTTGAGCTGGCCTTGCCCAGAGCCAGTGCCCCAGGCCTGAAGCGCTGTGAGATGCTTGTCTCCCTGGCGACCAGCCACCTGGGGGGCACCCACCGGACCTCGAGGCTGTGGGCGGTCAGCCTGGCCCAGAACCAGGGGCCTGAGTAGATGATGCCCGGCCCGGCCCTGGGGACTGGAGCCTCTGTGCTCCTGGAATAAATGTGACATTGGGGAAAAGAACTTGTGACTCCCCTGCTGAGCGATTCTGTGGGGTGCCCTCTGGAGAACGCCCGCTGGGTGTGCCAGCTCAGGATGGTCAGAGTTCTGGTGGGAGGCTGATGCAACGGGCACCCGTAGATGCCGTGGCGCTGGGTGGCGGCCATCTTGGAATATTACGCAGCTGTGAACACCGCACCAGCAACCTGCTGTGCACTCGGCACTGAGCAAACATCCCAGAGGACGCCCACTGCGTGGCACTAGCGGCCTCAGATTCTAAGGCAAAGTGAAGCAGCGTCGGCGTGGGTGTGAGTGTAAGGCCGAAGCTTGCTGAGAAATAAGCTCAGCACACGGGCCCTGTGGTCCAGAGGGCCGGTCTCCTGGGCACATGGGGACGGGGTGCAAACACCTGGGTGTGTGCAGACGCTCACGATGTCCTCACGTGGGCAGGGTGGGGTCCCTGCCCTCCACCTGCCCGTAGGCAGAGGCCTCACCTGCCTGCGTGTGCCGAGTTCAGGACAACAGGAGACGCCACGGAGCCTCCGGGGACGCTGAGCAGGGCCTTCCGAGGAATTCTGGGGCAGAGGTGGAGGGTGTCGCTGGGTGGGTGTGGGGGTTCTCCCCTGGCTGCTCGGGAGACCCAGGGTACAG